GCTATGACATCAAGCCAATCACATCTCACCCAAAAAAAAAAATCTTACCAAAATTCACAGGCTTCAAGAGCCACTTCATCATCAGTGTCCTTGTTGACTTGTAACATGTATTCTATCACATTTCTTAGATGAGGCTGCAGCACAGATTACAATTAAAAATTGCTTTAGACAAGAGGGGTTCCAGAGAGGAAAGGTTACCCTTAAAGAAGAACATGTTGACACAAAACAGACGAAGATTAAAACGATTAGAGGATTGAAGAGACTTGACTGATTGTATAGAAAGTAAAACCAAAAAGAAAATAGAGTAGAATCATTTAATACACATAAACTGTAAAGCTATGTGAACTTGAACAAGATGCGCACCTCTAAAAAAGATGGATGGACTTCAATTAGTTGAACAAATGCTGCGCACACCTGATTATGAGCGGAAACAACATTATGACAATTCTTCACAAAATTTACATAATATCATCCCATAATCTACCATAATATATCCATTAGGGTTAAAGGTTAGTGAGAGACTACAGCCCTCAAACAAAAATGCAGTGTCTCAAGAAAGGAAGCAATAATTCAATGGAACAAATAACACCAAATCAAAGCCATAATTATAATAAGCTCTTCACGAGCATACTCAACAATCAAGATGTCATATCAACAGAGAGCCTAATACTTTCCTTGTTCATGAAATAAAACACATATAAGAATGAAGTATCCCAGAAACAATAACGAGGCCAAACTTCAATGTCCAGAAATTGACATCACACAGAGAGAACGCAATTGTTTTTTTTTTTTTTTGGGGGGGGGGGTGTCATCCTAGAATTGCATCGGATGCTTGTCCAAAAACAACAAGGCAATAGGAACTCACCAGTTTCCGCACTTCTGAAGCAGGGTCATTTGCAAGAATAAATAAACCCTGAAGAAATTGGTCCATGGATACATACAAGGCCTACCAAATAAAAACATAGACAGTTAAGATTCTACTGCCAATGCCAAACATCAGCATTATATCATTAGAATGGAGCTGATAAGTTAATCTAAATGAACTTACGGAGGGCATCAACATAATGTACTGATTCACAGAACCCACTGAAAGCTTTCTTAATGAAGCATGAGGAGACTGGAAAAACTGTAAGACAAATTAAAAAGAAAAAAAGGTTCTGAAACTAATTAAAAGAACACATCAAGAAAGAATTGTTTGAGACAGTCAGACAAGGAGACGCCGCATGGTAGATGTAAAAATAAAACGCTTAGTTACCCTAAACAATCTGGGTAGAAATATGTTGATCGGGCGTTCTGCTAACCCAGGTATGTCTGAATCAAGTACTTGAGGAATATCCTCACATATCTGTATTGCCCAGAAATACTAAAATTGTTAAAAAGTGCCCATACACACAGACATACACATAAACACAATATAACATAAATAAGTCTCAGTTAGCTAATTGGATTTGGAATATATTCAACCAGTTACTAAAACAGTTGGATAGACAAAGCATTATGTAGCTACCAAGTTTCCAACAAATTTTATAAATCAACACTACTCAAAGAGGGGAGGGAATGGAAGATGACGATCAGGGAAAAAAAATAAAGGATAAGAAAATACATGTCATTTTTTATTTCTCACAAAGTCAATACCCTAGACGATGGTACCTTCATAGGTCCCACCTAAACCAAAATAGAATTGGAAGAAGACCTAAATCACAGAGACATAAACGTACCAAACATAAGAGTGTCCGAATCACTAGTAGATGAAAAACAAAGTGCTCCATTAGATACAAATTTTGGCACAGATTTTTTTATTGATAAAATAAGTGACTTTGGTTTTAAATTATATCAAGCCGTACTTCTCAGCAAATAGAAAAAGCATCCATGGTATGTTTTTACAAATTTACATGCTGCTGAAAGTCTGCAAACTTTATTTATTTATTAGCAATTATTCAGTATGCCTGAGAACATAATGCCAGAATATTTATTTCCTGGGAGATACGATTTGAGTTCAGAATCATTATTTGGTCTCTGCAGTGAACCATTTACCTTGGATAAAGCATCCATAGCACCTTCCATGTGATTTAAATCATTACTGTCCAAGCAATTTAATAGGGCTTGCAATAGTTCAGGCCAACCCAAAACTCCCTCAAGTTGAACAACAACACTGATAACGGTTCCTACTGTGGACCTGATGTTCCTGTCTGCTGCTCCAAGACAAGGCAGCAACTCTGATTTCACATATTGCTGATAAACAGGAAGCATGGATTTATATGTGGTTCTAAGGTTATTCTTCAGATATAGACCAGCAGCCTGTCGAACCTCCACCTGCTTTCCCTGTTCAAAGGCCAAAATTTCACGGAAGAATAATTATTAACATACAAGGATTTCCATTAACCAATAGGTGCTATGCACCACGCACCATGCAAATGTGCAATAGCTCTCTCTCTCTTGGGAACCAAATGATGCTCCAAATTTCCACAGACAAAAGGCATCACAAGCAATAACAAACAGTTAAACTATATTGTTTCCTTTTCCAGCTCCATTTGAACGGTTTTACAACATTTGATCTTCACATGTCTATTTTCATATGAACGGTTTTACAACATTTGATCTTCACGTCTATTTTCATATGATCCCATCCGCCCAACAAATTATGACGTAGCCCAACCTCATGGCTTATCTCCAGTAGTGAACTGATGTAGATACCAATTAAAATTAAGTCCTTAAAGGCAAGGAACACATTAAGACAATTGTAAATTTTAAATAAAACTAGGAATTAATAAAACGATAAACCCCCTTTTTCACATGATGGAAGCACGTATCCTCAGAAAGTCGAAACTGCCCAGACAGTCCTTGCTATTAAAATATCGTAACTTCATTCAAAAGCTCTCCAAGAACAAGAACTCTTGCACTAAGGCGGTTAAACGGAAATTGTACTGTACCTCAGCCCGTGCAAGAATGAAAACAAGATAATTGTTAAAGTCGGGGAGCTGAGAGTAGTGCTGAAGTTGCTGCCAAATATGAGACTTGTCAATAGAAGAGTGAGAAATCTGCTTCTCCAGTAAGCCACAGATCTCCTTAAAGCCTTCTTCTTGGGGATTCCACGGAGCACTGGCCGCCATATTTAACAGATTTTGACAGCAGGCGTATTTAGCTTCCGCTAAACTCAAGAGAGTACCGCAAGTTCTGAAGATTCTTAACAGAGAAATAAATTTAGAACCAGTTACAGACTCCAGAGGCTTTGTAGGCAGAGTAGAGGTGACGAGGACAAGCCCTTTTCAATAATACGACCAATTTTTGCGTGCAAAAGGAAGGGCCACTGACATAATTGGGTTTTCACTTAGCTGGGTTGTCGCACTCAACTTTGAAGGGTAACGCTGATGGAACATCGCTTGGACTTCAAATTCATCGGGAATTTTTAGAAGTTCGAGGGGGAGGACGGAAGGAAGCCCATGTCCATTAACTCCGACAAGTGGCACCATGGATCGGTTAAATTCTTGACTGGAAAAGGATGAGCTAAATTAAAATGGATCATCACATTAAGCATGTTTTTATTTAATTAATGTTTGTGTTCAATTTCACATTAAATAAATTTAAAATATTAAAAATAAAAACCAGTATTTCCTACGCAAAAAAGAGTGAAGAGAACTAGCACGATAATTTTTTTAACAAAAAAAAGATTGTATTAAAAAAAAAGACTCCGTCATTTACATTTGATGATGAAAAAAGCTTTTTACCAAAAAAAATGAAGCTTATATGTTATCAGAATATAAAAATAGGCTGAGAATCAAATTCAATTATTACCGTTTGGTAGTTTGGGTTGTGTGCCTTTCCCAATCACCACCCCTTATGTCCTTTTTATGTTATACGATAATTTTTTTAGATTACTCTTAATTGTATTTATAAGAAACAACACAAATTTGGTCAAAAAAATATTTATAAAAAACAACATCTTATCTGAAATATGTATTAAAATTTTCTTCTATACCCCTACTAAAAGTGAATATTTATTAATGAAATCAATTTATAAAAGCCACCAACCGATTATTAAGTGAGTATATTTTTAATATTTATTAATTCAACAAACTTTAAAGTACACTTTATATTTTTTTTTTATCTCGAGAAGTATATTTTTGTATCCTTAAAAATTAATTGTTTGTCTCTAATGTATTGGGATGCAGAGCATTTTTTTTTATATATATAAAAGTTTAGGTAAATTAAGTCCTAAAGAATCACCAAGATCTAGAGGCCTCCAAGTTCAGAAAGTATTTATAAAAATACTTACAAATTACCACCAATAAAATCCTCATATCAATAGTAAAATTCGAACTCACGACTTTGTAGGTTATAACTTAACTTCTTACCAACTAAATTAACTCTAGTTGGTGAGTAAAATTAAGAAATTTGGACTCGCCATTGAATCAATTAACACCACCTTACTATTTTTCTCAAGGGCTAAAAATGCATCCAAGACTCTAAAAAAATTTTCAAGCACATCTAGTATTCTAAATGTTTTGTGACACATTTAGCACCTGAAATAGATGCATCTAATATCTTAAATTATATTTTTGATACATCTAACACCCCCTATTGTATTTTTTTTTCAAATATGCCTAACATCCCAAGTTATTTTTTTATACATCTACATCCTAAATTGTTAGGTGTAAAATTTACAATGAAAAAACTCCAGGGTAGTGATACAATACTAAACACTTTAGGATATTAGACCTTAACCCTATTTATATCTTACTCTCTCTTAACAAATCCAGGTAAAAGCTCCCATAATTTGCCTTTTTCCGGTGAAAGCTCAAGTATTTTCAGCCAACGGGCCCTATCTCATTGATTCATTTCCTGGGACCAATTTCTACCAAACCAAACGGAAAAATGTCCCCACGGTTTGCCGAAGAAAAAGGTTTTTAAAAAATGGTGATAACAGCTCAAGCATGTAATTCAGCAGGATGCATGACCCAAGTATACATGCAAACATGCAGTTTGCTTAATACTAAAAAACATCACAAGAAAATTCTTTCATTCTATCTTTGTTTTCACACAGGATTTGACGTCAATAGCGAACCTCAAATCCAACTCTCATGTAAGCTTTTTGTCCCCAAAAAGGGCTAAGAATATTTTTTTAAAAAAAAAAAAAGGAAAGAAAAGGGGTAGCTTAAATGCCCCTCCTCTTTCAACAAGGGAATGGTAAACAAAGTATTTTCATTAAGGGATACATCTAAGCGGTCCATTAACATCATGTTGCATATAAAACTGCAGAGCGAGCTTATGAGTGGCAAGTCACCAACAAGCGACTCCGCTGATGTTTTGCCATCATTTCATTGTTTTGAGCTCGCCTTCTCAGTAACCATCTGCAAGCGCCTGTTCATGTAGACCCCAAGACCAAATACACCATTGAATCATTGACTCGACATGATAACAATATGACTGCCTCAAACCTTCAGTCTCCATAGTTCATCACCTCAGGTGGCAGACTCCTGGGATTCAATCAATTAGAGAATATCGGTTACTACAATGTAAATCTCCCGTTAATACCCTTTTCCTTCTCTATTTCTTTTCACACAAGATTTGGCATGCTCAAGAAGACACACATCAGAATGACACATGACCAGTTCAAGGACCAGAGGAGATGGTCGAAGGAAGTTACAAGCATAAATCAAATGGCCTGACCCACCTCCATAACAAAAAAGGAGAAAAGACATTGTAAGTTACATGGTACTTTTCCTCCAAACATACACTTGTTCTTTGCTTCTTAGGCAATCTCAATTTTTTTTTTCTTTTTAAAAAACACTATTCAGCGATGGAGTTGTAACAAGTTGAATCAGTAGTACGTCCAAGTATATCGCAAATAGAATACCCTTACATAAAACATAATAATTACAGAAATTGTGCACAACCAGGGGATAAATATCATAAAATAGACAATAGACAAATAACCCTTCTTACTTGCTGCCTAGGTCAAGTACAGCATTCTGTTTAAGCAAGCGAGCATCAGCTATACATTCCAACAGGGCGATACAACTAATGGTTTTATCATCTGAGAGATATCTCCACAGTCCCTTTAAGCTCATATCAAGAATGCTAGGGTCATATTGCAAATAAATGAATATATAACCTGGACACAAATAAATTGCAGCTAAATTAGAGTAAAATTAGTAAAAAGTGCTCCAATGTTTTGTGTTGCTACTCCTTAACTAGCACATCAGAACACTGACAGGGGTTGTCAAGGGAGAAAAGTAAGACACTGGAGTTGAAAATTGTGGACAACAAGCTATATTTTGTGGTACCTAAAGAGTTTGGGTGGACCATAAGCCAAACAGGCAACCTTATGCTTCATCTATAAATGGTCACTTTCGCTTCTGTGCAGCCTGCAAACAAACACCAGTCAAGAAATCAGGAATGAAATAGAGTAACAGATGTCATTAAAACAATTGAGATGCAAATATCATATAGAAAATCCATATGAACTTAAGGACCTTATTAAAATCAAACCAAGCATATCAATACTTGAAATTTTTTTGTAAAAGATATCCAATTACTGAACAACCACCATTTTCGCCATAAAGGATCCATACATTATACATGTATATATGTAATTTGAATCGACAACAATTGGTTTAACCGTTGGGATTTATGCGCACTTTTCACACAGGTATGAAGACTAGTTTATTAACAAACCCAATTCCTAGGGTGGTTGTTAATGAATGAGGAAAAGCGACCCAATGCCCTTGTACAGCACATAAACATGCACGTTCAGAAAACCTATGAGCTAAAAAGTAAAAACCCCACATTAACAGCTCATCTATTGGAAGGAGCTTTAGATCTTCCAAGACCACCAACTAACAACTGCTAGCTCAATTATCAGAAAATAATATGAAGCTGATAATTATCTTCTCAAACTGGTTCCAAAGAACACTCCTATTGTAAAATGTAATTGCAACCAATAGTAGAATTACACTAACAACTCAGATGAAGGGCTAGGATGGGAATTTAAATAAGAGAAACTGAAGAAACAGTTTAATCCCGTCATCCTGTGGTTGGATGCATTAAATTTCTAAGAAAGCCACAGGACAAAGACGCTTCAACAAATCAAAGTTTTGCTTCATTTCAACTTCCTCCCTAAATATACAGAAGGCGTAGGAATTTAATGGTATCTCATCAACTCAAATTCCAGATTTAAAAGTTACTCATCGAGCACTGGACACAAAAAGAAAACAAATGAAAAAATTAAAATGGACCTATTATCCAAAAATTCTTTGCTCTGCCCTCAATCCCTCTGCATACGCGTCAATCCTCTTCCTTTCCTTATGGCAAGCTATGCCACCCTAACAAGAGCATGGACTTTGCATTCTACCCCCCATTCCTTAAGGGGTCTGCTCCAAAAGTCCAAATATCCAAAAGAAACAAAATTTTACTTCAAAATCCAAGAAACTGGCAGGCCACTGTGTACCACACAAGGAGATTGTCACATCCACTTTACAAGGAAATAAAATGTTTTAATCGCTAACATCAAAATGCCACCAAGCACAGATGATAGGAGAAGGATATCAAGATCCATAGAAGAATTTTATGTAGAGAACATACGTTTAGCAAGAGGATGCGTTAACCAGGAGCAATAAAATGACAGAACGGCTGAAGTTAAAAACTTAAAATGCTAAAAATGTATAGAGTCAATAAAAATGGCAGACCTTTTGCAGCTTCTCCAAAACAGAATTCTCAAAAGACTGATACCCCGCACCAACCAGGTTATTTATCTTCTCGGGTTCCACGGGTTTCTCGGCACTTGAAAACTGTGCTGCCACAGCAGGCTGAAGTGGTAAAACCAGCAGCGGATTAGAAAGATGACCAATAACACTTCCTATGGCCGCAACCTAGACAAAACAACACCCAATATAAGTAATTACTGATACTAAATAGAAAATTCAAGTTAAAAGGGAAAAAAAAAAATCTTGAACTGGATTAGAAGAATCTTACAGCTCCTTCCTTTGTGGCCATTACAACAAGTGCAGAACCTTTCTTCTTACTGCCCTTGATGACTACATCTTCCACTTCACCAAATTTGGAAAACAGTTCTCTCAACTTCTCTGCCGTATAATCTTCACCTACCTTCTCCCACGAAACTTTAAGGACCTTTTCTTTATTCAACGCAGAGCCGCCAGTAGCCGTGCTTTCTTTCCCCACCCCCATAGACTTCAAATCAGGCTCGGTGGGCACTCCTTTATTGGCATGCATAGCCCGAATCCTAGCAATCTCTTCCTTCAGTTGCCTAGCAATCCTCTCCTCTTCTTCTCGCGCTTTAACAGATGGGTCAGCAGCAAAAGCAGCCCTCTCCCTTTCTTCGAGATCAGAAACCATCTTTCGTCGCTTGCCGTCGCGCTCTGACAGTCGGCGTTGCTGCTCACGCTTAACCCGCAGCAAGTCATCGAACAATTTTCGAGCCTTCTCATCCTTGAGAATCTCATATGAAGTCTTGAGCTTTTGAAAGTTAGAATGGGCATCCGGATCGTCTGGCCTCTTGTCCGGGTGCAATTCCAAAGCCTTCAATTTGTACGCTTTTGAAATCTCTTTCTCCGTAAGTTTAGCCCCTTCCTCGCCGGACGGTAATCCAAGAACGAGATAGTGGTCCACGCCGGCGTCCATTTTCCCACACCAGTACACCACCAATCAGGAAAACCAAGAAATTCGAACTCCGCCTCGATGTGGCAGGGATGGGGCTATGACGCCGTGGGGATTAATTTGGGGATGGGGACTTGCGGAGGGGCCGAAGGAAAATTATAATTTTTTTTTCTTTTTTTTTTTTTGGCCGACGAGAAATTCTAAATTTTTTTTCTAACTTACTTTCTTAACTTATTTATAACTCAATCTCTCAATTATGATTTAACATAATTCAATTTTTAAATTTTTAACTGGCCTATAGTTTAATCTCTGAACTTTTCATATTTAATAATTTAATTCTTATCATACATAATTTATTTTTAAACATAAATTAATTATCCTACATGACAAAAAAAATTATTTCACTATTAAAAAAACCATCTGATCTGTTACCCAAAAACAAAAAAAAATCATCTGATCGACATCGTCCATTCGTCCTCGCCTTTCTCCTCATAGAGATGCACATGCTGTCTTCTTCCTCGTTTTATTTCTTGCTCATAACCCCTCCACAGTCCACACATTTGTCCTCCCGCTAGGTATATGAGGAGGTTGACGGATGATGTAACAATTTTGTTTCTTTTATGGCCCTTAGAATCACAATGACAAATATACGAATTTTAATTGGCCACACCCCCACCAACTTATGCACCTGAATCAAAGGGTCGTCCAAACTCGAGAGTATTCCAGGCTAAGTGAGAATCATTTGGAGGAGAAATGTGTGGAGGGATATGGAGGAAAAAATGAAACAAGGAAAAAGATAGAGCATGTTTGTCTCTGAAAAGACGGAAGAAGAGATTAGGGAATGCAAGTGAAAAAGTAGACATGATTCTCAAAAGGTGAGGAGGAAGGAGAGCACAATGAGTTGAGTCATACATTAAATTTTGTAAAGTACCAAGAAAATGTGTTATCAATACCTACTTTGACAGTTTTCAATCCTTATATTCCAAATTGTCAACGACTACTCGTTTAATTGTCAATACAAATTTTAAAAAAATAACAAAGACAATTTAGTAATTAAACAAATAAAATTTATTATAAAAAAATCCTTTGAGATTTCAGAATAATTTCATGATTTCAAAATACTTTTTTGTATTTAATTCCTTTAAGTGAAACCTAAGTGCAATTTTCTCTTATTGAAATTCCATGTGCGGAGAACTTGTCTCTCTGTGTCAGTGGTCGGCAAAGATCTAAGGTTATTAAAATAGATTTCAATATAAACAAATAAATGAGATATACTCTTATAATCTATTTATAAATTACTTCCAACATATTTTTAGATATAGATTAAAAAAAATCTTAAACTTTATTAACTCTCATTTAAAATTCAACAACTTTTCAACTTCATCTCTATTTAATATATATCTCATATAAATGAATTCAACACAATAATAAGTAAACGGTAAAATCATTCATCCATATAAAAAAAATTTCTTAATACCTTGTAAATACGACTAAAAAACGTCTTTTCTTTTTACCTTAATGATAGGACAAGAGAGTATTAAATAACTAATTGTAACAAATTGGAGTGGCACCCTCTCATTGGGATTGGGCAGGAGAGATTCGGATGGTTAAGAATTTTTTTTTCTTAAATGACAGGAAATGTGAAAAAACTGGTTTCACTTGTTAATATTAAAGGGAGTTTGGATGAAAACCAATTTACATGAAAACCAAACTACGATTTTAAAATTAAAAGTAATTTTACAATATACAAAATAAATATATAAAAGAGTTTGTTTCGATTTGCAAAAAAATGCTTATTAAAAGCACTTTTAGGTGTTCTCAAACAACACCTTAGTTCCATGCAGACAAGCACATCAAGGAATCGCCCAACTGATAATAATGTTCCTAATTTTAACTACAAAATAAATAACATTATGAAACAAGCAACATACATGAAAAGGCTTCGCAATCCAACAAATCCTAACAGCAGCGAAAATCCCAGCATACAAGTGGCGCCATCCACAAACTTGGTAATACAACACAACTAAGACTTCCTCCCCAAAAAAGTATGGCACTTGAATCGCAAGATCCACGTGGTTTTATATCTGACTGAGGATGTTGAAATATGAAGCACTAAGCCAGGCACTAACTTTATTATTTTTATTTTGCAAGACTTTTGGCGAGAAAGCAAAGGAATAAATTAATTCCCAAGGTCACGGGGAACTGCTTGAGCAGGGATAAATGCTTCAGCTAAGTACAATCCATTAATTACCGGCGTCTCGACTATAATATTGGTCAAGAGTCTTCGCTGGTATACGATGCAGCAGCTCACGGGGGAAAATCCGAAGCAAAGTCCACGCAAGATCTAGTGACTGGAAGATGTTGCGGGTGTCATAAGCTCCCTGGCTAACAAACTTTCTCTCGAACTTGTCCAAAAATTCCAGATACAGCTGTTAGAAAGCGAAAACTCATTAATATCACCACTTCAAGAACAAACTAACTTTATCAAATGGAAAGAATGAGACAAATATTAGAGACCAGATCCTCAGATGAAAGTGCTTCTTCTCCAACCACGGCTTTCATTGCCTGCACATCTTTTCCAATGGCATAATTTGCATAGAGCTGAAAACAAACAAATAACACTTGTTAGATGGTTTTAAAAACCTGCAATAAGAAAAATATGATACTGAAGCACAACTGAACCTGGTTCGAAACATCAGAATGATCCCTTCGAGTCATTCCCTCACCAATGGCACTCTGCAGAGGTCATGACTAATGCATCATGAGTACACAACACCATAAACAGCATCTTGACGTCATAGAAACTGGAAGATTATCCTTACCTTCATCAACCGAGATAGTGATGGAAGGACATTGATTGGTGGGTATATCTACACAATATACAAAATTTGAATGTTTATTTCAATAAATATAATAAAGCCTACATAACTAAACAACATAAAGTGAAAACAGTTCACTAGGTTGCTGATACAAATTAGACACCTAATCCAATAATCATGACAAAGAACAATTGGGACCATTTATGTAAAAGGATGATTCATGAAAAATTTCCTAAGATCTAGAGATAATCACAGGTCACAGCATTCCACCTTGACATGTTATATGAAACATGACCAAGCCAATGTTGACTGAAGCCATAATATATGGAGAATACTAAAATTCTGTACAAGCCAACAATCTTGCAGTAAATTTGCACGTTATATGTTGGAATACTTTATAAACCAAATTCTCTTTAGTGGTGAAGTCCACTCTTTAGTGGTGGAAGTCCACTGATTAAACCAGCAAGTTGTGTTCCTTAGTACCAAAGCCTCAATATATCATCCTACCTGTCTGTTATACAGCTGCCTATCTATATATATCTGCCCCTCAGTAATGTATCCCGTAAGATCAGGAGTTGGATGTGTGATATCTGCACAAAATTATAAGAAACATGATGTCCACATTAAAAGCTTGTTAAGCAATATAGCCGATGCAGATAGATTTATTTAGGCTCCTAACCATCATTTGGCATGGTCAGAATTGGAATCTGTGTGATAGAGCCTTTTCGCCCCTCGATTCTTCCAGCACGTTCATAGATTGTTGCAAGATCTGTATACATGTAACCTGGATAACCACGCCTTCCAGGCACTTCTTCCCTAGCAGCAGATACCTAGGGGATACAGTGCAAGCAGCAACTTGTGTCATGTAAATTGCTCATAATATTTATAACCTACTTCTCAGTCTTTTGAAGTAAGAGAAAATGGTAACCAATATTGCTTAAATTTAGTCTTTGGAAACCTCTATGAAACATTCATAACTTGCTTCTCAGCCTTCAAGACTAAGAAAGCAGTATCTAATGTTGCTTCTAATTATAGATATCCATAGAAATCACAATCGCCAGATGGCTAAGGCATTAATAGGTAAGGGCACAGACTGTAAGAGGTTTCTCATAATCTGATTTTTCTATCCTTTGGTTGCCTCGATTTTCTAATAAACCAAAATTTAAGGTACATTACCTCACGAAGAGCATCAGCATAAGAACTCATGTCTGTAAGTATCACAAGAACATGCTTCCCACATTCATAAGCCAAATATTCAGCAGTTGTTAGAGCAATACGGGGAGTGATAATGCGCTCAATTGTCGGATCATTTGCCTGTAGCCAATGAACAGAAAATTTTATGATTAGCTCCTTCGTGCAAGTTATGAAATTGGAATTTAAAAGTCTGAAGCATTGCATCAATTAAATTTCCTACTCAACAAACAACCTTGTGTTCCTCGAAATGCAATAAAGCATATTTTATAAATCTTTCTGCAATCAAAGTCTTAAAAAGAAAAATCTGCACTGATCGGTTATAAAAGTCTTTGAAAAAATGTATGCTTTTTTAAATATTTAGATATCTACTTCTTTCAGCTTAACAAGGAAAAATGTTAGTTATAATTTCTAAATGCAATACTGCGTGGGATTATACACGCATAGCCTTGTTCTCTTATATTTGAATTGAAATAGCATCCTTAAAACCCAAAGATATCTTCAAGTACGACAAGCATTTATCACAAGATACCATTGACATAAGACAATTTTTTTAAGCTTGCAAACCACAAAGACATAATTTCTGAAAAAGAATTTGAAAGTTGAAAGTAAAAAAATAGAACACGTCCATTCTGATTTATAAAGTTTACCAGATTAAGAAAAAGAGTCACCCTCTCCATTGAGCCATTCTCCTCAAAGTCACGTTTGAAAAATTGTGCAGTCTCCATGTTAACTCCCATAGCTGCAAACACAATGGCAAAATTGTCTTCTTCCCCACCCTATATTATAATGATAAAATGTGTTACAGTAAAACCAACTTCTCAGTCTTACGAAATGTAGAAGAGCCATGAGTTTTACAAAATGAGCAAGCAATAAGAGGCTCATTAATTTGAAGGAAATTTAAATTGGGGGGGGGGGGTTGTGAGAGTCTGAGGGGGGGGGTGGGAAGCAATAATACAAGAAGAATACAGAATTTCAAATTATTTTCGTCAGCATCTTCATGACAGCAGAACCACAAGTCACAGACTGCCCTTCGCAGTTTCCAGTTATTATTGCAATTTCAATTTTTGTGAACCATAGCGAAATAATAGTAGCTAG